GCAGAACATAGCATAAAGGGCAACAAAACATCCCCTTGTGTGGAGTCTTAACAAGGTACATTGTGTTTCACATTATTTCATTTACAATCCAAAATTATGTTCCATTGCAAATTTGAGATTTTGTGCTAAATCTAAACTTCACTAAGCGTGACAGTAGTCAACATAATTTTTGATGATTTGTTTTGAACCAGAATACCCCTTGACCCAAGTGAGGAATCTGCACTCTTTTGATGGGCGTGGTTTGATTAAGTGTTTTGCAAGTATTTTAAATATTTTAATGGAAGCATCATTGTTGAAGAGTTTGTTTTGTTTTGATTTGTTCAAAATGTTTTTAAATGTCATATTCCCTTTAATAAGGTATTGAATTTCTAAACTTTAAAAGTTTGACTGTTGCTATTTTGTGTTGTGTTTTCACTATTCTTATTTTAGTAAAGTTGCAGTTTTAAACATGTATTCATTACAGCCAACAGCCAACCTCAGTCTCAGGTCTCTCATCGTCCTGCCCTATTTTCTCACTCTGGTAGGATGGGAAGATGAGAGACCCCGGGAAAGACCAACAATTAACACCATTTGAAGTAAAAGTACTATAATTTTATATGTGCATTTGTTTATTTGAGTTATTAAAAAAGAAAAAATTGAAATTGTTTGTGAACCGAGACTCTAGCCATAATTCCATGTCATGGGTCTCCACAATTTATTTAGTAAAACAAATTTATTTTTAACAAAATGAAACACCTGTCATAAATCCATGTCATATGGTCCCGAGTCCTCTGTTGACCTCTCCCACCTTCAAAGATCATGACTCAAATATCAACTGACAAAAATGTACAAATACATAATTTTTCTTCTATAAAATATTTTAAATTAACTAACTCTGTAAAAGCACTTATTTTTCAAATATTTTTCGTACAGGTGAAAAATTAAATATGAATATTTTATAGAATTAATTTCATGAAGCCAGATGATAAATGGTCAAAATTTAGAATATTATTTTTTTTATCTACTAGCTGTGAATCTTCTGAAATTTGCCTCCTTCATTTCTGATTTTGTAAAAAAAAATATGGTCATATCTTTTTATTAAAATGACAGTAAAGAGTTGACCTCAACTCATTTTAAAACTTGATTTTACATTGTGCAGAATCTTACATGACTTAACAGCAGTACTTTATTTTAAAAATGTGTTAAGTCGAAACAGACTGGTTATGTCCAGTACATTGAACTAAGAATATTGAAGGCTCTATTTTGTTCTTGTTAAATACCCTTAAAACTATATACAAAACATAATCTGACAACAATAAAGTGGTGTGAAAAAAATAAGTGGTTTACAGACCCTTTTGATGTTTATGTTGTAATATACTACTGACAATATAAATATATGGTATATCTCAGTTATCATCTAACTGCTGCCCTTCATGACCTTGGAGACATTCATCTAAGAAGTCTATCACAGTCTGTGAAAATTCCTTTGGTTTCTCTGCATGAGGCCAGTGCCCGCTGTCTGGTATAAATTTAATGTCAGCTCTGGGAAAAAGTCTGTGAATTTCAGGGAAATCCTCTAACCTTAAAAGAAAGATATTAAAATATTATTAGGTTGATGTAATTGCACCACGGAGCTTGATTTGAACCAAAGTGGTTAACCTTTGTACGAGTAATCACTTGCATAATTTTTTCCATTGGTAAAAAAAATGGAGAGAAGTTAATTAACACTTGCTTTGTCATGACGTCATTGTAGCCTGTGAGCAGGTAGACCCCTGAGCAGACATTCATTTGGCTCATGCATTCCTTCCCAACAAATTGCAACAGACGTTTGTTGGGGAGAAATGTATGATGAGCCGAAGGAAAATCTGCACAGGAGGCTAGTGGACAGACCCTCAAGCTTATATCTGATTATGCATTAATGAGTCTCCAAGGATGAAAACCATGCCAAACATAAACAACATTCCGGGACCTTTCTGTAGATCACCTACAGGTGAGAAAGCTTCCCGTTAAAATATCATTATTATAACAAAGTTATACACTGCCGCAAGTCAGACAGTCCTCACATGCCCCATAAACATCAGGTAAAGGAACATGACTCATATCACCTTTAATTTGTAAAACAGACAGATCAGGGAGACCTATGTAACAATGATTATTTTAATTTTGTCACATGTTCATCCTTAATCTAGGTTTAGACAGGCATCCTCTGCTCTATCTTAGTGTGCCTTTATGCTGCAGAACTGCAGAATCTCAGATGTAAGTGCTAACCCCTCAGAGAAACAATAAGTTTAGCAACCTAATTCTCAAAAGCAATGGCTTTGAAAGAGCAACTACCTGAACGTAGAGACCTCAGCCAATGTATATCAAGAATATTAAATCAACTTAAAAGGGAATGGTTCATTTAGGTGCATTAATTTAGTTCCAGCCATACTATTTTCAGGATTTCATTGTAATTCCTAGGCAACACTCACCGGACATAGTCTGATTTAGCTCCACCAACAAAAAGTGTCTTTCCATTAAATTCTTGGTGTGGAAAATCTGTTGGAAAGCCTGACACTTCTGAAAGGTTGTTTTCTAGGGCTTCTAGATTAATTCTCCACTTAAATCCAATTTCTGTTTTTACAAGGTTCGTTAAGAAGAATGACCTCAAAAATGCATTCTGTATGAGATAATAAGATCAAAACACAGTGAATGTTAATCAGAGGGGAAAGGCCACACTGTCACTTCATCCCGCTTACAACGCTTCGAAAATTTCATACATGTGTACTTGCTTGCATAAGTTGTACTAGCTTAAAATGGATTCATATTTAGATCAATTGAAAATTATTTCAAAGTAGATTGTTATTAAGTAGTTTTCATTCACTCACTGTAAAATTATGGTTACCGTTAGGTAATAAATCTGGAACAAAGAAAAAACAATTATTAAAGCTGTTTAAATTATTTGACCCAAAATTTCCCAAGGCAGGGCATGTAGCTGATGGTGTTAATAATTTGAAACTCTATCCAAGGTCCGTTGAAAAAAAAAACACCAGTACTGATGCACATATCTCTGATCACAGTCATGAATCCATAATATCACCTAGGCAGACAGTCTTTCAATGCAAACATGTACATATACCTAACACACTGTTGCCTCTACACAGGGCTTCTGGGAGGGTGTGAGAAAAAAAAAAATGTGCTGGATTTTGGGGCCAATTATGTGGGGGAAAGCATCTGATTGGACAGGGATTTGTGGATTGTTAGAATTATTGAGCATCACTGCAAGTGTGTAGGTTAGAACAAATTGAGCAGTGCCACACTTGTACACTCGTTGACTTTCAAAAGCCCTGGCTTTTGACATGTATGGACTGAACGCTGGGACGTGGCTATGAATAAACTATGTAGGCTCAAAATAACCTCCAGTACTGTTTTTTAGTGAAATTTCAGTCAGTGACTCTTTTTCAGCTAATGAATTATTAGCTGTTAGTCAGTCATTACCTAGCATCATTGTGCAATCGTTCCATCACTAAAATATTTACTCACAGGTACGACATCCACCAACATCTTTTCAGCATCTCGTTTGTCCCTGATGAGACTTAAATTCATTCCCCGCTTTGCTGCTAAATAACTTGGGATATCTTTATCCACACCAATTTTGGCAGGAGACATGTCAACAACTATGAGGCTGTGCACATATTCAGGATGACACAGAGTAAATGTCATTGATGTTTTTCCACCCATACTGTGACCCATCAGCACTGCCCTGGAAAGCTCCAGCTCTTGGAACAAATTCCATACATCAACAGCTTGAACAAAATAGTTCATTTCTGGACTGTGCATGCTTTCTCCATGATTTCTTGCATCAACTGTTACTATCTATAACAAAGAGAACGAGAAACAGGTTACAGGACTATCATCTGTAGAGTGCTAGGTGGTAGGATATTCAATTCCCCTTGAAGTCACCAATCCTTTTACAATTGGACAAGAAGCCACACATTCTCCAAGTATGAAATGCAAATGCATATTATAACTGGCCATAATTTACTGAAAAGGTCCAAAAAAAGTGGAGACAGGCCCAACCCTAATCTCAGTGGTAAGACATTACAAGTAAAGAGGCCAGAAAAATATCAAAAAAAAAAAGCATGTGATGGTTACCTGCCTACCAGTTTCCTTGTGGAACAGTTTGGCAAGTGTTCTCCAGTTTTGTTTGGATCCAAACAGGCCATGCAGAATAACCAAAGGAGGTAGCTTTTCCCCATCAGTGGTTGCATCAATGCTTTCATAAGCTA